TTCTTTGAGGGTGAAGAATTATTTTCCACCTTTCAATCGCTCTTTGACGGGCGAGATGTGGCGAGCCTATCACTGCTCTATCGCTACTTCCATGGAAAGTGTTCGGACGAACTAATTTCTTTGGTTCCGCAAGGTCTAACCTTCACAGCAAGGACCCAGCCTGCCACTCACGTTGTAGCAAACCGCCCACATTCCCTCCGTATACCATCGGTGAAAAGTAAGTTCCACTCGAACAGTTTCTTTCCCCGAACTACTGACTCCCAAGACGATGTTTCACCGATCTCTACCATTTCAACTTGTTCAAGTCTAGGGTTAACCGTTATCTTCCCCACATATCCGAATAAACGTCGAGTGCCCCTTTGACCTTGTACAGGGTGAACCTTAGTGCCAAAAAAAAAAACAGTTTTGGAGGAAAGATGCATGACAAAGTGGAAAAAGCTTTCGTGTGACGTGATTCGCCTCTTAGGACTTCACGTATGTATACTCTGCATATAAACACTTAGTGGGAGAAAGATTTGAGTGCGATGACTATAGTAAATAAAAGCCAAAGTATGTAAAATTCAATAAAACATTAGATTACGAAGAATATTTTTCTAAATTTTTATGATTACTGAGTATTTAAAATTATATAAAATGGCGCTCACGTTATATTCCTCAAGTAATTTTTACAGATATGTCCACTGTCGAAAAAATTAGATAAACGTCCGTCTCTCAGTCAAGATGTCAACACCTTAAATAAACACCTACCACTGTGTTAAAGAAATGTATTTCTGCGATATTTTAAGCATAAAATGACATTTTTTCGAGGATTATTTTTCCTAAGATATTTTTTAAGATATTTCCCAAGATTTTATTTTCTAATTATTTCTTTTCTTTTTATTAATTTCTATTATTTTTAGTAATAAAATATATTTTTTTAAAATTTATTTTAACAATTTTTAAAAAATTTAAAAAATATCATATGAATTATATTATCGAATTTTAAAAAAAAATCTTAAAAATATTTTAAAAAATTTCTTAAATTTTATCTTAAGAATTATCTTACAAAAATTCTATTAACGAATTTTTTGAAAAAATTAAGAATTTTTAAACGTTTGACAACAATTTAAAAAAATTTATTTTAACATTTTTTGAATTTATTTTTAATAATAATTTTATTTTTAATTTGTATGATTTTCTAATTATTTTCTAAGATATTCTAAGATTTTTTTTAGGGTTATTTTTCCTAACATTTTTTTAGGGCCATGAAAGGAACAGAAAATTTTTTTGTTTAATCAGTATCACCTCAAGCAAGGCAGTACAGCCACAAAATGCAAGGGGTTACATGGTGTGGGGAATTAGGAACAGAAACATTAGTAATGAGGAGAAAGATAAAAGAGTAGTCAGAAGGACAGTAGATAGCGATTGATATGATATTTATATTTTTGCAGATAAAAGTTGGCTGGAAAGAATAAAGCCGGAAGGCACTTCCACAAGCGAGAAGTGTGAGAAAAGAAATTGTTGGCATAGAAATTACTGTTGGCATCTATCCATATCAAATGTAAATTAATGTAATCTCTCCGCCAGTCTAGTATTGCGCTTAAATTCATACAGTCTAAGTGGCATAGCGAAGAGCTCACCAGGGCAGTTACCATGAAATTATTTAGAAGAAAGGCACACAGAGAGGCAGACTTACGTCAGTGGGCAACTGAATGAAGCTGAGCCACCAGTTCAGGACCAACATTATTATATCCAGACTTATGTCCTCATCTTTCTTGATATTATCACCATATTTTGGCCGTTGTTCTCTCCGACCTTCATCAGGTGCATTATCGATCCCGGTAACCTTCAGGAAATTTCGAAATGAATCCTGATATTTAACCTCCGAGTATAAATTGTTCTCATTCCACTGTATATGTCTCGCGAGATACAACCTTGTCCTTTTTTTTTTAGCGTACCTTAATTATTGCTCGCTCTATTTCCACTGTCTTCACTCTCCAGTACAGGGATTGAACTCGTAATCACTATGCCACTAAATTCACAAACCAATATGATTATACCACTAAATTATTGTCCCTTTCCTATTTGTCTTAATTGTAACTTTTATTGATATACTAGCAGTAGAGCCCGGCGTTGCCCGGGAATGTAACAGTAAGAGACAGATCAAGTATCGACCATCATAAAGACTGAAAAATAAAATTGACAAAGATTATTGTTTAAGGTTGACGGACACGCATGTCTTAATTAGCTTCTTTTTTTTTACGAATATGTCAAACCCAAACTCAAAGAAAAACATTGTTTTCAATCGTTATGAGTCTACCGATTGAATAGAATTTTATTATAAACAATTGTCTTGTAAATGGAATTTTTAAAGCATTCTGAATGTAAAAATAAAGAAAAAGTGTGCAAGACAATAAGAAACACTACTTGCCAAAAAAAAAAAGTGAAGTTTTGTTGAAATCGGTTGGAAAATGTAGGAAATCCGATCCCATATATAAACGAACACACACACACACACACGCAAACAACCTGGGTTTTAAGTATAACTCGATATGAGTTGTCCCCCTTTCCTTCTCGCGATGCCTCTTAATCAAATTTTGTGTTTTCAAATTGATCTCATGCAAAAACAATTGCGTTTTTCCAATTTTTGGCGCTGTCAGTACCACCGCAAGTTAATTTTACGTAGTCCTGTGAAGTTTTGTTGAAATCGGTTGAAAAATGTAGGAACTCCGATCCAATATATAAACGTACAGACACACACACGCACACACAACCTGGGTTTTATAATAAGTATTATTATTTAAATTAGTTTAAAAGTCGCACTATCGGGCGGCATTTAAGCCACTTCCGACAGAGAGCTCTTCATTGGGCCTTCATCTCAATAGGTAGGGAGAAGTAGATGCAATGGGCAACAATAAACTACAAGAGAACTGATCGTTGCATTTAAGTATTGCATTAATATTTAATCTTACCTTTTAAAAGTTCAACGATAATTCGTCTGCTGCCACTTAATTTGATGACAATTTGATGTACGTAGGTCCTTACTTTACATAGGAACAATTATTTTTATTTATTTTGTTGCAATTAATTTCGATTATTTCAAAATTTATTTCCAAGTTATAAAAATTGTTTATTGCACAAAATAATTCGTCGCAAAAAATCAGGTAAAAAATCGCCGAAAACAATCGCAGTAATGAAAACTTGGGAATTGCGGGGGCGGATCCGACCCAGAAAGTTTTAATTTGCTCAGAGTTGGTTTGATTTCAAAATGGTATGATAGGTTCGGCTACGGCCTCTAAGAGTAAAGTTAAAAAAGTGTGACACACTGACATTCGCATTTATTATATAGAAGAAAGTTGCTTATTCTGGATTGACTTATTGGATTTGTGTTTTATGGGTTATCAACATATTTTGAATTGCGAGAGAATATTGAATTAATAAATTTTTGTGTGATGACAATAATTTTTCCAGATAAAAGTTCTACTATTTCACCTATAAATAGAGGTATTTGTGCGTAATGGAATGTAACGAACTCGACTGGATTTCGAACACGGCTCACCGATTTCTTATTCCAAACCGCTGTTCATTACACCACCAATGCATCCGGCTTGCACTGGAACAACGTAAAATAGCGGGAATAGAATTAGAAAGATTGTGTTGCGCATGTCTTTCAAATAAATAAAAAATCAGCTTTTAAATTAGGGTTTCGAATATTGATCATTGATACTTGTAGAATATTGGTAACTTTTGAGATATTTGAGTTATTATTTTAGTTTGGTATTAGGCTAAATAAGAGGAGGGTAGAAAGATTGCGTTGCGTCATTCATCTTTTCTGTTAGAGCCAGTGTGCCTTGAAAATCAGCACCTGAATTATAGTTTTTATCTGCGATCAGATACTGAATACAGGTAACGGAAGAAAATATACACTTATTAGAATATTTATGAAGGTAAAAACGAATACAGTCCAAGGTCAAATACACAAATTTCTAATCGACCAATCAGACGCGTTGTTGTTGTTGTTGTTATTGACAGCGTATTTTTTTCTTTTTGATTGTATTGCCTTGTCAAGATTGTTTGTTTGTTTGTTTCTTTCTTTCTTTCTTTCTTTCTTTCAGTTTCCCTCTTATTTTCTACTTTTCCATAGCTACTTTTTTTAAAAAATTTCTTCTACACTCTCTTTTGTGTGATTTAATCGCTATTTTTATCTTCTTTTTTAAACTTCTTTCTTTCTTTCTCAGATTTTATATCACTTATTTCCGCTCTCTTTGTCTATGTTTCTGTCTCTCTCACTTGAATTTCCGTTTTTTTTTATATACTTTTCGAATGTTTTTGTTTTATTTTGAACAGTTCAATTTTTTTAGACTTTAGTTTTCTGTATAATTTTATTCGTTTTCATTTTTTATTCTTTCATTTTCTTTCTTTGTATTTCGTTTTTTTTTTTCCTTCTCGATATTTTTCTTTGTTTTCCATATTCCTTTCTTTGAATGCACAATCGATATAAACAAGAAAAATATTTGCACTAACCCGGATGTAATATTTATGTATAAATCTTGCATGAGTTTCAGTTCACTCATGACTTAGGAAATTTTATGGAAAAAAAATGAACTGCATGAAAATAAAACGGTTGGAAAAATGAAAGAGTTTAAAAAGAATGGAAGTACTATTTATAAACAAAGGAGAAAAATGAAGAAAAAAATGAAAGAAAGAAAAAAGAAGGAATGGACAATGAAAGCAGAAAGGAATGAAAAAGAGCAACGAAATGAAAGGAATTAAAAAAGGAAAGGAAGCAAAGTAAGAAAAAATGTCTATAGAAAATTGAAGGAAAGAAGGAAGGAACACTGAGAATGAAATATAAGAAAAATGAAGTAAAAGAATATTCAGGAGAAATATATCATAGAAAGGAGGAAAAGTAGAAAAAATAAAGAGGGATACAAAAGAACGAACGAAATAAAGAAACAAATAAAGAAAGAAAGAAATGGAGAGGAGGAAATAAAAAAAAGAAAGTTGAATTAACAGAAGAGTCAGAAGGAACGAACGAAATATGGAAAGAAAGAAGGAAATAAAAAGAACAATGTAAGGAGGTCAAGAAAGAAAACAAACAAAAGAAAGCAAAAAAGAACTGAAAGAAAGATTGAAAGAAAACGAACAAAAGGAAGAAAAGACGGACCGAAAGAAAGAAAGATGGAAAGAAAATGAACAAAAGAAAGAAAAAACGAACTGAAAGAAAAAAAGAAAGAAAGCGAACAAAAGAAAGAAAAAACGAACCGAAAAAAAGAAGGAAAGAAAACGAAAGAAAGAAAGAAAGAAAGAAAGAAAGAAGAAGAAGAAGAAGAAGAAGAAGAAGAAGAAGAAGAAATGAAGGACGAATAAGTAACCAAAAAGTGAAGGTATAAAAGGAAAATAAGAAAGAATGAACCAAAAAAAGAAAGAAAGAAGGAAGGAAAGAAATAAAAAGGAACGAAATTAACAGCAAAAGGAAGGATAGATGAACGAAAAAGAAGAAACAAGGAAAAAGAACAAAAGAAGTAAAGTAAGAAAGAAAGAATGAAAAAGAACAAAAAAAAAAAGAAAAGAAAGAAAGCTGAAGAATAATGATGGAAGAAATCAAAAGAAAGAAGGATCGAAGGAATTAGGAAAAGTAGGCGAATTAGAAAAGTTTAATTGGTGGATTTAATTCGTTGACGTCAGTTGATGCTTAAATGAACGTGAGCTTTGTTGTTCGACTCTAAACAAATAGTTTGACCTTGAAATGGCGATAAACAATTGTAACCCTGACCAACTTGCCACATTCCAATGTTAACAAGTTCGAGAGGAATGCATCAACAAATAATGGCTTTTTAATCATTTGTAAACCAGTCACCAGAAAAATAAAATAAAATAAAATAAAATAAAAAAGAAACTAAATTAGCAGTCAAGGTGTCCTGTATCTAGACCTCACTTGGTACCTTGCTTAACAGCACCCTGTGCCAAACTTCTTTTGTGTCGTATCCACACTATCACTCCAAATCCCTGTTCTACCAATTACACAAGCTCGTTAGGCAGGGTACTTATTGTTTCCTTGCATTCAAAATATCAATGCAGTTAAATTCTCTGAGCTGTTCATTATAATGTTTTCGTTAGTTGTATAGCAATAACATTTAACATGAGTGAATAATTGAAAAATGTAACCATAATATGAAACTACAATTAAAATGTTAAACAAAAAAAAAAAAAAAAAAACGAGTCAGATATCCCGGCCGTCTCCCGTGGCTTGGAATGTAGCTACTATTTGTTTGTTTTCTGCAAACCAAATGATGGCTCGAGTAACGGCAATGAGTGCACTGGAAGATATGCAAGAAGCACAAAGTCAAACCCACTGAGATATGGTATGAGCACCAACCAGGCACAGTTAACCAAAATAACGATGTAACTATCCTCTGGGACATGCCAGTTAAACTGACAGCGAAATAAAAGCCAATAGAGTTAATATGATCATAAAAGACAAAGAAATTAAGGAAGTGTATGCTTATTGATATAACAGTACCATCTGAAAGAAACAACTTCATGAAAATTATCGAGAAATTATCCAAATACAAGGATCTGGAGATCGCGATTAACAGGATGTAGGGAATGAACACTGAAACCAATAAAGTAATGCGCAATTTTATTAACAGTGTCCCAGGTAATATCAATATCGAAGTTTCCCAGAAGATCGCCCTACTAGGAACATCCCATACATTAAGAAAATTATCATTTGTTAATTAAATGACAATTCTCCTATAGGGCGTAAGGACCATAGTTTGGACCCGGCTCTACAGGGTACAAAGCAAGGAACATAACATGCATAAATAATAATAATAATAATAATAATAATAATAATAATAATAATAAAAGTACAGCCCACACTTTACGAAGGGCTTTATCTATGCATTTTTTTTTTTTTCAGTGGAAAGTGTCATGATGCCATTTCTAACCTTAGATCCCTGGGCGGGACCCGGAAAGAAATGTATAAACGCCAGAAATAAAAAAAAAATAAAAAAAAATAAAAAAATAATAATAATAATTGCTGCTCGTTTCCGAGTATACTCTCTTTTAGATTGGATAGCTTATGCCCTTTACAGACGTCTGCTTTAATGTTTTTTTTAATCGAATTCATCCTAAGCAAGGCAATAAAGTCACTAAGACACAAGTGGTTACCGAGTGTGAAAGCATTAGAAAGCAGTAACATTATTAAGGAACGAGAACAAGAGAAGAGTAACCAAGAAGAGAGTAGAGAACGATTGACATTGCATTTAAATTTTTGAAAATCAAAGTTTCACTATCCATTACTTCGAGGCCATCTTCATGGTCATATATTTCTACAAAGTTAATATAACATTTTTAAAAAATGATGCAATATTTATTATATCTATTATATTTTTCTGGTATAAATGAATAATGCTAAGATTAAGAATGTTCAAATAATATTTTCTTGGCTCGTTATTATATAATTATATGGTACAAATATGGTACCACTGGTCTTTGGCACACTGGAATGACTGGCCTTAGAATAAATAAGACATCATGTGCCCGTGTTTAGTACAAATAGTCTCAAAATGACCCTGAAACAGAATATATCTATAAAAAAATAAATAAATGAATAAATAAAAGAAAATAAATGGGGGTAGAAAAGACAGCGTCCCACCTCAAACTGGATTGGAATGCTTCGCTAACCAGTCCCTCACACATTGAAAAAAAATTAAGGTACGCCACATCAGGTACTTTGAGAAACACTGTACTAAATCATTAAAAAGATATAATCCCCCACCTCCGCTAAAAAAAAACAAAAACAAAAAAAAATAATATATACAAAAACGAAAAAATGTAAAAATTCTACCTTGCCTGTGCTTAAAAAGTTGGATTGGCGGGGTCTAACAAATAGAAGCGGGTAGAAATGCCTTTTGAATTTTTAGTTTGAGCGAGGAGGGGTTTGTTTTGTTTGTTTGTTTTTTCTTTCTTTCAATTTCCTTCTCATTTTCTACTTTTCATCTCCCCTCTTTCTTTTTTTTCTTTTGCATTCTCTTTTGCGCTATTTCTTTCATTCTTTCTTTCTTTCATTTTTGATTCTCTCTTTTTTTTTTCTTTCTTTCTTTCTTTCTTTCTTTCTTATTTTCTTTCTTTCTTTCTTTCTTTCTTTCTTTCTTTCTTTCTTTGTATAACTTATTGCCGCTCTATTTGTTTCTTTCTCTGTCTCTCTCACTTGAATTTCTCTTTTTGTTCATATACTTTTCGTATGTTTTTGTTGTATCTCGAACAGTTAATTTTATTTTTTAGACTAGATTTATTCGTTTTCATTTTTTATTCTTTCATTTTATTTTTATTTTTTGTTTCTCGATATTTTTCTTTGTTTTCCATATTTCTTTCTTTGAAGCGGGGAGGTGTTAACATAAGTTGATACTTGGGTTTTCACTCGTAAGTCGACGGGGTCGAAATGAAGTATACACTTTTAAATACAGTTTGTAAATATAAACACTTAAGTTCTCATTAAAGGGTATTTTTTCCTTTTTTTCTCTTAATCATTTAACTCAAAGCGATAATGTTACTAAGACGCGAGGGTTTACTGGGAGTGAAAGAGAATGAGACGGAACCGGAAACCCAGTCCTGAACAGGAAACAAGGTATAGACCTCTACTCCTGTTCAATAGACAATGGAGAAGTTGAACTGGGTGTCTACATTAATTGTCTTCATTCTTAAAATAAAGTTAAAATAAATGCTTAATTACTAAAATTTCTTTATAAACTAATAAAAAAAACACACCAAAACAATAATTCACTGTATGTAATTAAATGAAATAATTTCTAGTTGAAAGTGTCTAATAATGGTGAGTCATTTTCAGAAATTTCTTGTTAATTCTAAGTTGCGAAGGATGGAGTTAAAATAAGTTTTTACCACTTGAGTCTTCTGTTTTAAATCATAAGAAATATTTTAAAAGATAAATTACTGGGGTTGTAATAAGAGCATATATTTGCTTAAAAAAGTGAACAAAAACGGAAGTATGGGTCGAGCAACTTGTGGAGTAGAGTCAGAATTGGTAACCCGAATTCAGATTTCACCTAAGACTACTAATGCTGAACTAATGATATTAAGAAAGTCATGGATCGGTTTCTCCCTAGACTGTTCCATCAGTCGCATGGTTGTCAAAAATGTGAGTGAGCTCCTGGGAAAGTCACTCTCCTCTAACTATCTGACCTGCACATGCAGTCGGAATAGTAGTAAATAGCTGTTACTCCTATTTCTCCCCTTGACAAGGCTAATTGTGTATGCATCTAGATGTGTGTCTTTCAATACATACATATAACTGAAAATGATATCATGAGTTGAAAAAGTCAGCTGCATTTTAAATCGTCCGTGGATATAGGCCCTTAAGTTCCAACTTAAGGAACTACTTCTTGTTTTTTTTTTTTTCATTATTGAAATAAATATTAAATTACCACAATTGCCTTTTTTCTAATCGAAAAAAAAAAGGTTCAAAGAATAAAATTAAATGAAATTCTCTCTAATGCTTAATTAATAAGTTAGGGTCTAGAAATTTCTTACATTAAAATATGTAGAAATTTCTTAGTGAATTAAAATATTTTAGTACCACTAGTGGCTTCTGTTTTGACACATCTTTTTGGGAAGAGTCGACATGGGTTTTCAAGAACACAGGTACAGTTTATATATATATATATATATATATATATATATATATATATATATATATATATATATATATGATGCATCGGATTGCTAAAGCTACCAGTGCTTTCGGCAAACTTCGCCATCGCTTGTGGAATGAGTGGGGTATTCGACTGGATACGAAAACTCGGGTTTACAGACCTGTTCTACTTGCCATCCTTTTGTATGGCTCATGCAGGTACCATATATGCCAACTGGATGTTTTCCATAAAAGCTGTCTGTGTGCAATCTGTGGAGTTAAGCTTCAAGATAGGACGTCTAACGTAAACCTGTTTAACAGGTGTAATATTGAAGGAATCGAGACTTTTATCATACAATCTCAGTTACTGTGGACTGGTCATGTCTTGAGAATGTCTGATGACAGGATACCCAAGATCCTAATGTACAGCCAGTTAGATAAGGGCTAAAGGAATGTAGGACGCCCATGGCTAAGATACAAAGACAAGCTGAAAAGCAACTTGTCAGTAGTCAACATACCACATAACACCCTTGAGCGCTTAGCTTTGGAGGGGGTATAATGGAGATCAACGTGTTTTAGCGGACTCAGCAATTTTCAATCTGCTTGTCTGAATCATCTTCAAGAAGCGAGAGCAAGATCTAAAAGGTCAGCCAATCTAAGTGATCTCATCTCACAATCCTCACTCTTGCTCCATAATATGGCCTCCTTTGTCAATCACTAGCGGGTCTTAAATGCCACTTAAGATTATCGCACAAACTTTCATAACTGAATCAATTAAGCTGCCAGGTCCTCATACGTCGAAACCGATGGGAGAGTCCATTATTATTATTATTATTATTATTATTATTATTATTATTATTATTATCATATATATATGAAACAATTTGAGCCTCCTGGGTTTGTTAGGCACGGGAAAATATAATGTTTTGTATTTGGTGAAAAATACTTTTGTAACATTAAACACAAGATTCTTCTTCTTATATATATATATATATATATATATATATATATATATATATGTGTGTTTTGTGTTTTTATCATTATATACGATGCGTGGTAGTAAAGCCAGTAAGTGACAAATGATTACTCATCGTGAAAGAAAAAATAAAAAATAAGAGAAACGTTATGAAGGAGCGAGAACAATAGAAGAGTAATCAAGAAGACAGTGGATAATAATTAACATTGCATTTAAATTTAAGTTGGCTGAAATTTTTGAAGATTTGAAGTTGGCTGAAAGCAAGGAGTCGTAAAAAATGTTCCACAAGCGAGAAGTGCGAGAAAAACTGTTACCCTGTAATTTACGGTTACACATAGCCAATTCAAGTGTAAATTGATGAGACCTAGTTGCCAATCTGGTATTGCTCTTAAATTCATCAAGTCAAGGTATCATAGTTGAGAAGTTATCAGAACGATTACCATGAAAGTATTTATATAGGTACCTCTACGAGAAAGCTAAAAAAAAGAGCATAGCATGATGAAAAAGACGCCAAACCTGACGAAAAAAAATTTTATCGTCTAAATGTTTATGTCATTATTAAGAGGAAAGATCAAAGTATTTTTTTTGGTTTTTTTTTTTACATTTTTTGATCGTTCCTAGTACATCCGAAATTTTCGTTAAAAATCTTCTTTTTTTTTTGAATCAGTAAAATTGACAGATAACTGATCATGGCAACCATTTTTTTTTCTATTTTATAAAAAAATTAAAATCTCAATTTGAAATTCTTTTAAATATCAATTATCATTTTTTCAAAACTTATTTTAAGAAAATCAGAAATTATAATGTTTATTTAAAATATTTTGAACCAAGCTTAACCGAAAAGATGTAATTTGAAAATAAAACAAAGCATCACTTGACAGGTGATAAATGACATATTGACGGATTACGTGAGGATAATTCCTTCTATGGAAGGAGAGAAGTGAAATTATTTAGATTTAAGTGAACAAATTATCTACCTCGTTATTTTTAAGGAAAACTTTCAGCGCTCTAATTTTTTTTGTATTTAGCTTTCACCTTTACGTTTACGATGCTTTATGGAAAATATAAAGAAATTAAAATAAGACTGTTAAGAGTGAGATCAAATTTCATAAGAAAAAGGTATCTAATTAATTTATAGGCACCTTTCTTATGAAATTTTATCAGAAGTGTACATAAAATACTATAATTTTATGTACATTTACTACATTTTACTGTGTTATTTGTATTTCCATTCATTTTATTATTAATTTTGATATTTCTTTTATGGAAAAATGTCATAACTGAGATTAATATAAAAATAAGATCATATAAATTTCATAAGATGATAGCGATACTTGTAGGTACCCTTCTCAGTTCAAATTGAAACATCAAATTAACTTCTCCACAAGTGTTTCGCAAAAGTAAAGGCCTTAACAGCGGAGAACAATGCTTAACTCAAATAACGCAACTTAATTATATTCTGGTTGGTGTTCCGTACTTTATAAACACAAAATTACATTTCTTAATTACTGCGGGTTTTCTGATTAGTCAAAACGATACAATTTACAACGCGCTAAAAAAGATCTCATAAGGACACTTACGAAAGCGGATGCAGCTTTTAACTAATTTTTATAATATTTTAACAAATTAAATGTAAAAATATATTATAATTAAAGAAATAACAAATAATTGTATTAAAAATTCATTTTTCATCGAAAAAATGTTTTGCTTTCAGAAAACATTGTCCATATTCATAAAAACAACTAAAAGCTAATAAAAGCATCTGAAATTAAATAATATCTTTGTTTTATTGAGTTTTGTATGTTACAATTCAGAGCTGATTTTCAGGTCCAATTAAAAACGAAAAAAAAATGATTTGCATTCCTCAAAGCCCCGTGATTTTAACTATTGTAATCACTAAAGTGGACTCGATCGAATTTCTACAGTTTTCATAAAATTAATTATGGTGGGGGGTAATAAATATAGAAAATATTTCTGCCTTGACTTTAATAAAAAAAACATATTTATAATAATTTTGATCATCTGTGAATAGTTTCTGAAAGTTTCATTAACATCCGACAATTATTTTTATTCTTCCAAGATTTTCCCAATTAATGTGTGTCATACAAAAAAAAAAAAAAAAAAAACGTGCTAAAAATTGCATATGTTATTTTACTAGTTCCGCTAAAGAGAAACAAGGTCTTTTGATCAAAATTTAGAATGTTCTAAAAAGAAGGAAAAATTTTTAAAATAATTAAAATAAATTTTGGTCTTTCCTCTTCATAATAACATAAACATTTAGACGATAAAAAATTTTTTTCGCCAAGTTTGTTGTCTTTTTCATCATGCTATGCTCTTTTTTTAGCGATCTCATGGAGGTAACTATATTAATAGAAGAGACACAGGTAAGCTAGATTACGGCAGTGGGTAAGTGACTTTAACCGAGCTGCCAGATCAGGACCAATAATATTGATGATTCTCCTTTGGATTTCATCAAGAATAGATATATAGTAGGAGCACCAGCCCAGATTTGGCAGTAATATTTAAAGCCTAAAGAAATTGTAGACATATAAATATGCCAGATAGATTCTGGAGAAAAAATTGTCTAGCACGACACAGTGAACCTACTTTCTTATCAGCAGACCTAACAATGGATTCAATATAATCTTTCCACTACATGTCAGTCGATTACAACCAAATGAAAGTAATGACCAAAATAAGAATTGTATATACCTCTTCCAAATTACCTTCAAATTGAGTTAAATACAATGGTTTGTAATAATAAACACATATGAGACTTCTTTGTGACACTTGTGAAAACATTGGCTTTGTTTGCCATTTTTAAGTCATCTCACCTTACTATATAAGACAATGTCGTTGAATACTATTCAAGGTGATCCTTAACTAAGTTATAAATCATCTTTGTACTATCCCATTCCTAATAAGAGGGTGGTGTCTAATAACTTGAGCAATGATTCACAACCTTTTTTTACCCAATGCACCTTTTTCACCATATATCAGAATGTCATCCCTCCCCTGTTTCCTTGGGGGGGTAGAACCTGTTACGGTCCCAGCCATGAGTAAATGTAGAACGCGGAAACGAAAACATCATGAAAGTCTAAAAATACATATAGCAAAACCACCAGTCATATATTTTCATATAAAAATGATCAACTATTTTATAGTGTAATGACCAACAATACATATTTATAGTAGAATTACCAAAGATAAATTTTATAGCAAAATGACCAACAATACATTTTATCTGTAGCTGAAGGCATTCAAATGCATTCAAAATATTGAGACTTCGGCATTAAATAACTCATGGAGGTTGATATGCAGGCGTGATACCCTGAGTGTTCATGTCTTTTCTACTCAGAAATCAACAGAATTTCTACTTGAGTTAGAAATAACATACCATCTTAGTTCTCAGGTACTCAGACAATTTCGCTCACATATGAGAACTAAAAGACCCACTGGGAGAAGTGAGAGTAACATAAGTTGCTCGGGGGTACATCGGCACCCCCAGTACCCCACTGGATTGAATATTATCTTAGAAACAAATGAGAGCTAGCATCGACAATTATCTATTTGTGAGGAGAGAGAAAAAAGGAAAAAAGAAAGAAATATTTTTTCAAATTAGATTAATTAAACTTAAAATCAGCTAATATTCCTCAAATAAAGTTTCAGAAAAGTATATTCTAGTTTTGAAAGATGTTTTAATGAAGAGAATTATATTGTTAGGACAGATGGCTAAAAGTGGGGGTAAAATAAGCGATTTTTAGTGATTTTCAAACAAAAACTTCTTCAAGTCAATTACTTTAATGTATTTCAAAATTTAATTTATAGTTTTGAATTACATCGAAGTATTTTGCTTAAATTTTGTAAATATTAAATCTAATTTATTAGCTTGGAATTAAAACTAAAATAAAAGCTTCAAGAAAGATTTTTCATGTTTAAATATTCATTTTAAACCTTAGGTATAGAGGTACCTAATTTAAACGTTTATAACACTACTTTGTACAAACGTTCATGTACAAAAACAATGGCCATTATTAAAACTAACACAGAAAAAGATACTAATACTAAACAGATAAAATATACATGAAAACTTAAATTCATTTGACCGTACCTGTAGGGAGGAGAGTAAATAAAGAATGGGAAAGAGGTTACTGTTTGGAAAGGGGGACCCCTTCCATAAAAACATCAGGTAACTGTCTTTTATTTTTCTCTTTTCTGTCTCTTAGCACCAATCGACTCTGTTTGAGACTCAATTGGCATCTGTCTCACTTAAAATTTATCCTATGAGATTTGTTTTTGTCTACGTTTGAAAATATTTATTTAATAATAAGATGCCTTATTTAATAATTTATAAAAGAAAAATCAAGAGGAGGTGCAGTGAATTCGAGCAGTAAGGAAACCTAGATTGCAATTAACGTTCTCGCGCCGTTACTCGCTGGCTTGTCACCCCATGTTGTCGCCGGCTTTCGTGCTCGTCGTTTGAGCCTCCGTTTGTCACTTGTCTTGTGTGGAAAATTTGTTCGTGACGAAAGTCGTTCATATTCTCCTCAACGCAGCAAACCCAAATATACACAGTTTGTAGAATGTTAGCCAAATGCAAATTAATGCAATATTAACCAAACCTAGCTATGTGCGTAAGCCTGCACAAGCATAATAAAACGTCTTTAAAAGAAACACAAATTTGTCAGTCTCTCAACCCAAATTCGCCACGAGCCTATTTGCTTGCACCTCAGTCAGTGGGCATAGTTATAAATAGGGCGACTTACCGAGTGAGCCAAAGAAAAGGACCAGTGAAAGCAATCAGTGGATAATCACATGTGTCGGAAAAGTCATAAATCAAGTAATCATTTCACCCCAAGCAGGGTTGTAAAGCCACTAGAACACAGGGAGTTAAGGGAATGAAAGTGAAAGTGAAAGTAATTGCGGAAAATGATAAAAGCTGAACGGGATTCAGGGAGAGATAAGCTAGCGATTGATTTAATTTAATGAAGATTGTAGTTATCAGAGGTGCAAGAAATTGGAAGAGAATTCAACAGGCTGAAAGTGTGAGGCAATAAACTGTTAGAATATTTTGTGGCGGTTGCATCTAGCTATTTCAACAGTAAAACGGTGGAAACTAGATGCAAATCTAGTCGCACGCTTAAATTCATGTAGTCTGGGCACGAGGGGAAAAAGTCCATCAAAGATATTTGCAAAAAAGACAAAAGGAAGCCAAGTCACGCCGGTGAAAAAGTGACTGACGTCGAAATGCATGATCAGGATCGATTAAATTACAGATTCTTTTTTTTTTATTTTGTAACCTTGAGATGAGTAGCAGGAGCCACAGACCAGATATGGCAACAGTATTCAATGCACGGACGAATGATTGATTTGTAAATGGTCAATATGGATTATGACGATAAATAGAAGACAAAACAATTGATTCGATATAGTGGCTCCACTTCGTGTCAGTAGAAATCGTGAGATCTCCAACCATTTTGATGGCAGACAGAAAAGGCACTCTGCGGTGATAAGTCTTTTTGATTTGGAGGCCTTAAAATTTACAAGTCATTTCCTGCCCATCTTAATCAATGATTTTTTTTTCTTGAGGTTCTTCTCAAGAACAGTTTACTTTTACTTTTACTTTGTCAGATTTGTCGGATTTACTTAGCGTAGCTTAGATGTACACACAAGCCAGCAAATATGGCGCACTCAGTCGTAATTTTTCTAGTGAGACAAGCTTGATAACCGTCACACCCCGTCGAAGTTTATAGCAATTTACTAAGAGTAGAGTGGATGTGACACATAGCCGATCGTGTGGAGCACCTATGCCGAAATTATGGACCACACAGTGAGGATAGAACTCACTACTGATAATTGATACTGACAACCAATAAACCGTAGATAAGTGCCTACAAGCTGTCACAGATAGCAATTTATTAAGCATAGCATAGATGTGACACAGGGCCGAAATTATGGAATACCGAGTGAGAATTGAAGTTATGACTCGTAATTACGCACAATCCTGTAGAAATAATTTTGGAACCGGCTAGCATTTGAGTTTCAAATAGACAGGCTGGCTGGAATAAAATGCAGTGGTTAAACACATAAGCCATTTTTGAAAATTGTAAATTATCATTCTGTTTTTGTCTTTAAATATATGAAATGTTGTTTCGTTTCTGCAAAGGTCTCCCATCGGATTTCCCGGATTCCTTCCTACTGATCACAATAAAAAAATTTACCAATTTTTCATTTTTAATATTTCTTAATAATTTTCAATTTTTAATAATTTTCAGCAATTAAATGAGTAAGGCCGCAGCGTAAATTCTAAGGTGAGAGGAAATTTCATGAAGTTTACTTGCGATAAGGATGTCTGGACTGGATTTTTTTGGTCAAAAAGAATAATCGCCTTGGTCCGACTATTTAAAGCTCAAATAAATAAATAATAGTAATATAATAATAGTAATGCCAAATATTGATATAAAAATACATAATTCAGAACGAAAATAATTTCTGCCAATAAAGTAATCGAGAGCATTAATTATTGAATTACATGTAATATACGTTCAACATACTTATTGATGATCGATTCGGAGTTCCCTATTTTTCATTCGTAAGACTTGGACTAGAATGATTGTATCAATTACGGACTACAACAAATAAATGTAACGAATAAAGAAAGCAGATAAAGATTAGTTTATTTTTTATATACTTTTGAGTACGTCTTCTCTTGTATTTTCTTTTGTAAACACCAAAAAGGTTCATAATATTTTAATTCCCTAGCGCAGGGGTCAGCAACTCATTCGACCCCCACGGGCCGGATCGTGTTATAATGACGGGTTGCGGGCCGGACGAAGGCCATTAATGAAAAATTAAGGAAAATTACATATGCAGACCCCTGTCAACCTAAATATTTAAAACCATAATGAAAATAAACATTGAGAAATCAGAAAAACAATAGAAAATCTAAAATTAAAAAACACCTAAGAAAAATTACTTTTCCTCAAGGAACATCAAAATACTTCAAAGTGAAAATCAACCGAAGTGAAATGGATGAAATTATGACGTGTAGGTTTGAAACTGTTATTGAAAATTGTTCCACAAACGAACCACACACACACACATCAAACAAAAACGAAGCACATATACCCGTACATACGAGTACAAATAGTTGCAAATATATACACTTACGTACGTATACATGCGGTATCATCCACACATTCATGAGGCATGTATGTATAATGTGCGTATGTTTAACTGTATGTATAATGTGCGTATGTTTAACTGTCTTTAGATTTCTGCTACCTCGCATGTCAGTCCCTCCCTGGCCTCTTTCACTTTATCGTTCCTTTCGCTTCTGTTATCTTTTAATATAGCCAAGGGTCATAACAAATATGTATCCATTATTTGACATTAAACGTAGGCAACGCAACTTGGTAAAATAAGTCTCATGAAAGATAACTGGCAGATAGTCTAATTCGAAAGCCTCGTCTCTCATGTTAAAAATAGTTATTGGTAATCAGGCTCGCGGGCCGGTCAAAATGCCTTCGCAGGCCGGATCCGGCCCGCGGGCAGTAGGTTGCCGACCCTTGCCCTAGTGTATAGTTGTTATGGTGTGAAACCATAGAAACACGGACTCAGATATAAGTTTAAATAGTATATTCTCAGAAACGTAGTACAAAGGTAAATGTGGACTGGAGAGTACTTTCTCTCACTGGTGTCCTGACTCATTCATTCACTCACTCGGTGTCTACTACTCGGTGACCCTCACTTGGGGACTCTCTTTACTCAGAGTTGGTAGCCATATTATATAGGTGTGGAAGAGCCCATTTGTAGGTAGGTCCCCACAATAATAGTCTAATAACAGAATGAAAAAGAAACAATTATTTAGTTTTACGCATTAGCTTAGGACTCTGAGCCATTCCATAGTCTATTCTTACAATTTAAAATACGAACACAAAGTAATTCGTACATTGTACTACTACTACTACTACTAATAATAATAATAATCTTGAAAGAGAACTCCTTCCCCAGGCTGTGGAAGGTGTCAAGCGCATGCCCGGTTTTCAAGAACGTAGGTGCGCGATCTTCTCCCTCCCAGTACATACCCATCAGTTCCCTTAGTATCATCAGTAAGCTTCTTGAGGCCATAATCAGTAAGAAAATTGTCGAGCACCTAGAAAAGAACAAGCTCTTCAGCGACGAGCAGTATTGGTTTAGTTCGGCCCGATCTACTGCCGTCACTGACAGAATCAGCGAGGCTCTTGACGACAAAAACACCTCGGGGACCATAGTATTATATATCTTCAAGGCCTTCGACAAGGTGTGGCACAAAGGTGTACTAGACAAGATCTCCAATTATGGAATCATGCAAGGGTCTTTTCGATCATAAAACACTTCCTAACAGGTTCCTGAAGGTGGTTGTTAATGGCCAGTCCTCCGAAGCACTAGCGGTCAATGCAGCCGCCCCACAGGGATCACTTCTCTTTTTAATCTACATAAATGATCTGACTAAGAATATACTTAGATCATTTGTAACCATCTATGCTGATGATACCAGTATATACGGGCGCACTTCTAAAACTTTCAATAGTCTGACCTATCTTCCGAACTTGCACAAACTAACCAGTGGGGTAAAAACTGGCTGGTTACATTCAGTGCCACGAAGACCAACCTGGTTAGATTCCATCATAGCCGATCTGGTCCCTAACTACCACAAATCAGAATGAACGGGGGTCCTCTCGAAGAAGCACCTTGCTTTGAAAGACTGTTGGTTCACACCTGACCTCAGGTGGGACATACGATCCGTTGCTAAGGATGCAAGTAAAATGGTCGGCTCTATGTATCGCTCTAGTGAGTAACTGACTCCTCCTGCCATCCTCTACAATTACAAGAACCAGATCAGGCGAAAAATAGAGGACTGTTGTTATATTCGGGTAGGTGCTGCCCAGACCACACTCTCTAGCCTTGATAGAGTTCAAAAACGTTTTCGAACCCTTGTGGGTAACGAATTATTCTCCATTCTTCAACCTCCCTCTCACAGGCGGGATATTGCAAACCGGTCCTTGATCTACTGCTAATTTCGCGGAGGACATTTTGAACATTTCTTGAGTTGCGCTGCTGAGGTACAAAGATGGCCTTTTGGACATATGTCTATATAGACATTTTACCTTGTTTTGATGTTAGGAAACCGCGCCCAAAATTTGTTAAAATATTTTTGATACACCCTATATATATATATATATATATATATATATATATATATATATATATATATATATATATATATGAAATGGACTAAGTCAGACAGTTATTTTAATATATTTCCTATTTATACGTTATTTTTTTATAGATACAAATAGTAAATGGTCCATGAAATTTCTCGGGCATCTAGGCTGGTAAATTTTGTTAATACCGTATATTATAATCAGGCCATTTAATTAAATATTTCTATTGATAAAAATAACGTATAAATGAAAAATATATTAATCCATTTCATAATATATGATGTCATATGTTTACGTTAAGATACGCTTCAGGCAGATATGAGCGTTCGAGAGA